TTTATTAAATTATTGTTTGCGGCATACAGTTTTAGATTGCTTGGGTTTTTGTTTCTCGCGTCACCGACGGGGAGTAACAATATATCCGCGCCCGTGTCTATAAGAAATAGTTCCCCCGTGACGCGATCGCGAATGTGGAGGCGAACAGAATCGTCTGCGTCTGCTACACTTGCCCCCACAGTGGCAGACGACTCTATTCCCCCGCACTCCCTCCCGTAATTGCTTGGGGTTTGGGCCAAGAGCACGGGGATTCCTTGGTTCCCTGACAAGCGCGCGCTTTTTCTCCAAATGTTCTGTGCGGCCAACAAACGCTAGGTCGTCTACTCTTAGATCGCTTGCGAGTTTTATTTGCTGCGTCTTTAGTTTGGGGTCTACTAATGCGTTTAACTTGCGTCGCGAGAGTTGCTAAGTCCGTTGCAAGACGATCTATTTTGCTCTCAAGATCGGACGGTTTTGCCTGTTGCTGCGCTGCAGCTACGCACAGCGCCGAGTCGTTAGAAGTTTCGGTTATCGTGTCGGCCATTTTAGCCAGTTTGTCGAGATTCGTGCTCTCCGAAGTCGCGAGGATGCCTCTCACGTACGGTGGAAGGTATTCAAAGAAAATTGTTTTTAGCACCGCGTCGTCGCATCGCTTGTCCGGATTCAAATTACGCAACCTACTGAGGATATGCGACGGTTTCCCCGATGTCAATACCTGCCCCTTAATTAATTGCCGTAATTGACTTTCAGCAGATGCGGAAAACCTGTCGATTATACGCTCTTTTAATTTAGAATAAGGTTCATTCGCGTCAGGCTCTGCGATGAGGTCTCTACAGCACGCGATAGCCTCCGCGTCGAGTGACATTATAACGTAATGAGCTTTGGTTTTCTGATCCGTGATGCGTGCAGCTTCGAACGTCGACTCTATTTGTATAAACCATATTACCGGATCCTTAATTAAAAACGGCGGAATTTTCGGAACTCTGTACGAATCCACGCGCGCGGGACTCGCGTTGGGCTGACCTAAGGCCTCTTGTAAGGCAGCCTGCAATTGCGTCACCTGTTCCTGCAGATCTTCGATCGTGGGCGGTGCCATTTTGGACACACTTGCCTTCCAGCTCGCTATGTTCGTTTAACAAATGCACGCGCGCGACAAAGGAAGAAGGAGAGAAAAAGAGAGAAAAAAATGTTGAGATGCGCAATGAAACGCGCGCAGGCAGGTCTCAACGAGTCGTCCGACCTCTACCGCTATTGGTAGACTCGCGCGCGAAACTTCGACTCACTATGGCGGCGATGATGTTCTTGTTGCAGCACGCCGAACCCTGGTTGCTGGCGCGCTGAACGCCTACTGCTGGGACGGCCCGTCCGATCCTCTCCTCGACAGCGCTCGGGACGCCTGTCGCTCGGGCGGCCGGTCCGGGATTCGCGCCGATAGCGCGTGAACGCCTGCTGCCCGATGGCTCGTCCGGTCCTGAATTCCCGGCGATGGCGCGTGAACGCCTGTTGCTCGATGGCTCGTCCGGTCCTGAATTCCCGGCGATGGCGCGTGAACGCCTGTTGCTCGATGGCTCGTTCGGTCCCAGATTTCAGTCGTCGCAGCGGGTCTCAGGGCCGTGCGAATGCACAGTCGGTTGTTGGGCCGAACAGAATCTCCTCCGTGGGTAGTAGGCAGATGGTTTTTCTTTATTTGTGCCTAAACGTTGGTCGATCTCCCGCGGTTGCTTTTCGTGCGATTAGTGGCAATGGCAATTTCTACCTTCGCCCGGGGATCACGTCGGGGTCACCAATGTGGGAACGAGCCCACACGCTTGCGTGTGTGGAGAAAGAACACTCACGGTTGACCAGGAAGAGAACTTTATTTTCAGAGCTTGATAACGAGCTACTCTCTCTACGACGTCTCTTACAAGAATGATGATCACCAACCACATGTCGGTAACTACCTAGCTTTCGCTGACTAATGTCCCCAGACTCGGGCTAGGGAAATATGGTGGTGATAATCCCCACAGATCGATCTATGCAGCTGACATCTATGAACTGCTCGGTTAACTACAGTTGCGGTCGGTAACCCATGTCCTATGGTAAAAAGTTGTCACAACAGCCAAGATCCACCCTGTATTTATGTATTATGACGAAATCATTTATATAAGATATAACTTATATCTTAAATTATACAAGAATATGAGTGGCCGAGGACGTAAGATAGAAGACTGAAGAGCTGATGATCCCAGGTTCGAATCCAGCAGTGGTAAAACAAATTTTTCACATATGATATTTTAAGTATAAAATAACATTAAGAGATAGAAGGTTACTAATTCTGATGTAGAGAGAATAAAAGTAACAAATAAAAAATCTATTCCCAATTTTTTTTTGCTATTTTATCGCTGTCTAGCCCCGGCTAGGTAAGTACTAGTTATGGGTTTTTACGTAGCCGCTAGCTAATTTTTCTCGCCTAATCACTAGCAGAAGTGAGCGTTACATTTCGAACTAATAACTAGACAGTATTACTGCATAGCGGCGAGATACGACACAATTTTTCTAGGCCGTTACTAGACAGCCACTAGATTCAATTTCTACTCGGGATTGCTTCCAATACAAAAGACACCATAATGAGTCTTGGCTGGGACGTCTTGCAGCACCCGGCGTATTCACCAGATATTGCTCCATCCGATTACCACTTGTTCCGGTCAATGCAACACGCCTTGTCCGATATGCACTTCCAAACAGTGGATGAGATCCGAAAATGGCTTGGACTATTTTTTTATTTTAAAGGTGGAAATTTTAAATTTGCAAAACGCAGCATCAGCATTTTGGCACGTTGTCTATTCAAATTTGGCTTCCTCATAGAGGAAGCTTTGTGAGTTAATGTGCAAATTAAAAATTTGGACATTGCCCATTCTAACTTGTAAAAATGCAAATTGGAAATTTGGACATTACTTCGTCATCATGAAGACAAGTGATTATTAAAAATTTGGGCAATCTCATAGAAGAGGCTTTATGAGTTAAGGTGCATTTTGAAAATTGCTTACTCCAGAATTTTTATTTGCACACAAAGCTTTCTCTATGAGAAAGCCATATCCAAGTTTCTAATTCTCCTCCTCTTCGCATATATGTTTCTGGCTTTCTCATAGAGAAAGCTTTGTGTGCAAATAAAAATTCTGGAGTAAG